GCTGTCTTGAGAAGGGTCTGAGGTGGCTTCTGGGCTCATTAGGAAAGTGTTCTGGGGTTGATTAGTGATGTCTGCCCAGACACACTATATTTCTTTCTTTCTTGCCAGCTCTAGCCTGGGGGCTACCTTGATAGGCAGACCCAAATTTGCATGGGAAAAGTGTTTATCTGGCCTGCGAGGTCTCCTAGGGTTAAGTTTGGACTGAATCTTTTCCTGGTGGCAGAAAGGAGGGAGTTGGGAGGGTGGACATGAATGGGTCTTTGGAATACCCTCCTCCAGGTAGGATCACCCTTCTCTCAAAGCCCCCAGTATCTAGCACTGTCCTTTCTCACTTAGCCTGACAAGGGGTCTGGCTTTTCTACTTCAGTCGTTCAGTCAAGTGTTCTTTCTCATGATTTGGTTCTTTCAATCTGGGAAAGGGAGAAAGTGTGTGGGAAGAGGGAGGAGGCAGGGTTTCTGGAACGCACCCAGTGAACAGAAATTTTGAGTTATTCTCTGCTTCGGGGGATGGAGTCTTAGTATTAAAAGTGGTTAGTGGACCAATGGACCACAACTACCACAGCCTCTGCGAGACTGAGTCCAGCACAGCTAGATGGTGCCTGGTGCCTGGCTACCACCACTGGCTGCTCTGACAGGGATCACAACACAGGGTCCCAGACAGACGGAGCTGGAGAAAAAGGTAGAACAAAATTCTGACTCACAAAAAAAAGACCAGACTTACTGGTCTGACAGAGACTGGAGAAACCCCAAGAGTATGGTCCCCGGACACCCATTTAACTCAGTACTAAAGTCACTCCCGAGGTTCACCGTTCAGCCAAAGATTAGACAGGCCCATGAAACAAAATGAGACTAAAGGGGCACAGCAGCCCAGGGGTAAGGATAAGAAGGCAGGAGGGGACAGGAAAGCTGGTAATGGGGAACCCAAGGTTGAGAAGGGGAGAGTGTTGACAGGTCGCGGGGTTGGCAACCAATGTCACAAAACAAAAGTGTATTAATTGTTTAATGAGAAACTAATTTACACTGTAAACTTTCATCTAAAGTACAATTTTAAAAAAAGATACTTTTACTATAATAAAAACATATTTACCAAGTGAAAAAAAAAAAGTGGTTAGTGACTCAATTTTGGGTCATGGGTTTAGATATTACAGTCCTTTGTGAGCTCTGGGACAGGCTGGAAAGGAAGGGAGAGAAGGGAGGGGTGGCAATTCTGCCCACCCAGGCACTGCTCAGTCTAGGCCTGGGGATCTGCCCACATGAGCTGCTGCTCCCAGGCTGCTGACCCGGTCTGTTTTTTGGGGGAATTTCCATGGAAACACATTTTATGGCCTGGCTCATCCTGGGTGATGAGTCAACGGAAGCGTTCGTCATAGGCCTACGGATTCATCCACTGGGTCCCCTGCTCAGGACTTCTGGAGCCCTGGAGAAGGAACCCCAAAGGTCCGAGGTCTCAGCTTCCTATGGGCTCTGGCCCGGGGGCTCACAGCTTCCGATGACAGTGAGTTTTGGTCCCCACCCCAGTGCCTCAGTACTCCAGTGCCTCGCCTCCCCTCGCCTCTCACATCCCTCCTCCCACAGCTGTACCTGGCACAGACTGGGAGGGGCTGCTGGGGGTGCCAAAGCCGTAGTCGTTGACTGCAATGACCCGGAAGTCATAGCTCACACCCGGCTTCAGGATGTCCATGCTGAACGTGTAGGAGGTCACCTCTTTGGGGATGTCTTTGATGAGGATGTCCCAGAGCCCCTCATCTGTAAGAGCCCAGAGAGAGAGGCACCTGTGAGGGGAAGTCTCACCCTGCCACCCCAATCCTGATGTTGCTCCCCGAGGGCAGGGCCTGTCTGGTCTGCCCTGTTCGACACTGGATCTCCAGTGCTCGGCCCAGATTGAGTCCTCAGTAAATATATTTTTTTTAATGACCTGCCTTCTGAAGCATCTGAGCCTTTTATTCTTTTTATTAAAACATCTGTACAACATTAAAAAAAAGTACACTATGCAGAAAATAACAAAACAACCAACCCAATACACCTACTCCTCACTTAACTATCTTGTTAGCTGGCATTTCGCATTTATAACAATAGTAAAAAATCTACTGACTATTTTGCACATTAACAACATACTTCTGGCAGTAATCCTTTCATGACCAGTGGGACATACAGTGCCCACCTACATCTTCTGCCTTTTGGATCCAGAGGGACATATGTGTCCCACATAATATTTTGTGATCTGATGTGGTCATCCTCCATTTTTGCATAACGTCAATTTTCGCTAATGACTTGGTCTTTGGAATCTAACCATGTTGATAAGTAAGGAGTCGATGTATCACCATCCAGAGAATGCTGTTATTGTGAGCTGCCATCGAGTTGACTCATGGTGATTCCATGTACAACCGAACAAATCGCTGCCCAGCCCTGTGCCATATCCTCATGATCGGTTATGGATTGGACTGTTGTGATCTCTAGGATTTTCATTGGCTGATTTTTGGAAGTAAATCACCAGGCCTTTTTTTCTAGTTCATCTTAGTCTGGAAGGTCCACTGTTCAGCATCAGAGCAACACTCAAGCCTCCACTCACAGATGAAGGGCGGCTGCACGTGAGTTACACTGGCTGGGAATCGAACCTGGGTCTCTCTCATGGAAGGTGAAAATTCCACCACTGAACCACTAATACCATGGGAGAATATCCAGAGAACAGACACGCTGTGTAGGGCTTGTGTGGGCAGAGCTCAGTATGACTCTTGCCCTCGTATAATCTGTGTACATTCCTCCCCTCTGAGTGTGGGTGGAAACTGAATATGATGAAACATCACTCCCATGATGAGGCTGCATTAAATGGCAAAGGGAGATTATCCAGGTGGGCCTAACCTAACCACAGGAGCCCTTTAAAAGCAGAACGCTTCCTTTGGCTGATGGCAGAAGTCATAGGGATTTGCAGCTGGAGAAAGGTCCGACGTGCCACTGCTGGCCTTGGAAAAGGAGAAGCCACACCCCCAAGGAACTGCGGGCAGCTCCATAGCCGACAGCAGTCCCACGCATGGAAACAGGGACCTCGGTCCTAAAACTGCAAGGAACTGAATTCAGCCAACACCAGTGAGCTTGGAAGAGGACCCTACGCTCAGGTGGGACCTGCAGCTGGGCTGACACCAGAATTTTAGCCAGGTGAGACGCTGAGTAGAGGACCCAGCCATGCTGCAATGGACTTCTGGCCGACAGAGCTGTGAGCTAATAAATGGGTGCTGTTTCAAGCCGTTCAGTTTGTGGGGATTTGTTATGCAGCAATATAAAAACAAACACAATGCTTTCCTTTCCGTTTTAGAGTTCTGGTGGCACAAACGGTTAAGTGCTCAGCTGCTAACTCAAAGGTTGGTGGTTCAAAGCCAGTAGGTGGGAGAAAGACGTGGTGATCTGCTCCTGTAAAGATTACAGCCAAGAAAACCCTATGGGGTCATTCTACTCTGTAACACATGGAGTCGATATGACTTGATGGCATCCAAAAACAACATCCATATTTTAAATAGTTGAGATCATCCTCTATAGCACAATTGTGTACCTTGCTTTCTTCACGTAACCGAATAACATGCGGCTTTATCATGTTCTGTTTTCCAGAATTAAACTTTCTCGGTGAACATGATTTTAAATGGCTGCCTAAGACTTTATCATGTGGATAGATCCTCATTTACTTAGCCAGGTCCCTGATTTTCTGACCCCCTTTCCTACTGAAGGAGTCTCTGAGTGGTACAAACAGTTAACACGCTCACTGTTAACTGAAAAGTTGGCGGTTTGAGTCCAGCAGAGGTGCCTCAAAAGAAAGGCCTGGGGATCCCCTTCTGAAAAATCACACTGAAAACTCTACAGAGCACAGTTCTACTCTGACACACATGGGGTCATCATGAGTTGGAATCAACTTAATGGCAATTTTTTATACACACACACACACACACACAGAGCCTGGTGGTGTGATGGTTAAGTGCTAGCTGCTAACCACCAGCCGTTCAACGGATCCACCTGGCGATCTGTTCCTGTAAAGATTACAGCCTTGGAAACCCTATGGGGCAGTTCTACTCTATCATATAGGGTTGCTATAAGTCGGAATTGACTCGACAGTACACAACATTATACACACACACCTACATATTAAAAATACATACAGTGGTAGCATCGGTCAAAAATAAGCAGACTTTTTTCTTCAAATAGTAGCAGGGGGATTTAGATTGCATGAGGGGGTTTGGTCAAGTTGCCTGGATTTGATGGGGCCCATTCTCAGGGGTATTCTTTCTAAGGAGCAGAGATCAGAGGAGACGGGGGACTACAAAGGGCTGGAATGTTCCACGGCTTCCACCTAGGAGGGATCCCCATCTGTTTTCCATGCCATGCGGCCCCCAACACCCCATCCTTTGAGCTCCTGAACCTCCTTTCAGGCCCTTTGTCTGGGGCTCTCTGGATCTTGCCCCCGTGGGACATAATTCACCCTCACCCCATTCAGAAGGAGCAGCAGGGGGTTGCCCGTGAAAGAGAAGAGGCAGGGGGCCGCCAGAGCCTGGTGGTCATCCATCATGGTGACCGGGAGGCCGGAGGGGTCCTGGCCAGATGTCCTGGGGGGACCCACGGTGGGGCCGGCCTGATTCTTAGAGAGAGGAAGTCTTCCTTAGTGTGCTAGTGGAGCCAGAGGCGGAACCAAGCTTTCAAGCCCCTTTGCCTGGTTAGGTCCCCTCTTCACATGGGTCAAAATCCAGAGGTCTCAGAAGGGCATCCTGTGGGCCGAGCCCACAGTCCTCCATTACACGGCCTGGTCCAGGAGGTCCCCCAATGGGTCCTTGGGGCTGTTGGCGCCACGGAACAAAGCACCACTTGACCAAGTCTCCTGTCCACCCATCTCAGCACTCCTGCTTCAACCCTCTGTACTTTCTTGTCTATTTCTGAGCTCCTCCTGGCAGGAGCTGCTTCGCAGACCCAGAGGTTTGCTTCCCCAGCTCCAGCTCGGCCCTTCGCGGCGCCCGATGGACTTTTTCTCACCACACATTTTACAGACTCACCCATGTAAGTGAAGAAGTGGAGCCCGGCTGTGTCATCATTTCTGAGATTTGGGCCAAGAATGTGGTAGGACCTGCAGGGGCTGCCTTCTCCTCCTCCTCCCCGTCTAGATCCCTCCTAATGGGAAAAGACTGTGGGGGTCTATCTCAGCCTTCAGAGCCATCCTGCATGGATGGACCCTGGGGTCTGGGGCCTCTGCTGCTATTTAGTCTCATTGGTTCATCCTGAGATTCGGCCGCAGACACGTCCCTTCTTCTCATTTAACACCCCTCTCTCTTGCTGTTATTGTTATAGCTGCCGTGAAGTGGCTCCACGCAACCCCATGCACATCAGAGCGGGATGCTGCCTGGCCCTGCACCATCTCTACGATCAGTTGTGGATTGGACCGCTGTGATCTGTAGGGTTTGCACAGGCTGATTTTCACAAGTAGATCACCAGGCCTTTCTTCCAGTCCATCTGTCATGGATTGAATTATGACCCCCCCCAAAAATGTGAGTATCCGTTTGGCTGGGCCATGATTCCCAATATTGGGTGGTTGTTCTCCATTTCGTTATTGTAATTTTACATCAAAGAGGATTAGGGTTGGATTGTAACACCCTTACCCAGGTCACATCCCTGATCCAATGTAAACGAGTTTCCCTGGGGTGTGGCCTGCATCATCTTTTATCTCTCAAGAGATAAAAAGAAAGGGAAGCCAGCAGAGAGAAAGGAACTCATAATACCAAGAAAACAGTGCCGTGAGCAGAGCACGTCCTTTGGATCTGGGGTCCCTGCGTGGAGAAGCTCCTAGTCCAGGGGAAGATTGATGAGAAGGCCGACAGAGAAAGAAAGCCTTCCCCCGGAGCTGATGGCCTGAATTTGGACTTTTAGCCTACTTTACCGTGAAGAAATAAATCTCTGTTTGTTAAAGTCATCCACTTGTGGTATTTCTGTTACAGCAGCAGTAGGTGACTAAGACACGATTTTAGTCTGGAAGCTCCCCATGAAACCTGTTCAGCATCACAGCAACGCACAAACGTCCAGTGACAGACAGGTGGTGGCTGTGCCTGAGGTGCACTGGCTGGGACTTGAACCCGGGACTCCCCCGTGGAATGGGAGAATTCTACCACTGAGCCACCGACTGAAATCCCTCAAGGGCAGGGACTGATGTCTGGTTTATCCTCGCAGTGCAGCACCTAGCACGGGCATCTTGGACGTGTTTGTTAAAACGTTGGCTGGCATTTTCATCACATCGCATGTCCCAATTTTGGGACTTCACGTTTCGAAATATTTGAGGTGCAACTCCACTTTCCTCACGTGACTTTAAATTTCCTCATTCATCTGCAAATAGCAGCCATAGCAATGATAAAGACGCTACAGATAACACAACAGCTGACACTTGTCACTCATCAAGCACTGAAGTTCTAAGCGCTCCATGTTCCATCTCCACAGCAACCGCAAGAGGGTGGGGCTCTTACACCCATTTTACAGATGAGCAAACCAGGACTCAGAGAGAGACAGCTTAACGCATCTTCCTAAAAGTCATGCCGCCGTAAGTAGCCGAGCTGGTATTTAAGCCCAGAGCCATCTGATTCCTCCGTCAGGCACCAAACCCACTCCTGGTGCCCAGGACCATGCCCACACAGTGGGAGCTGACTGTGTGAAGGATGGCTCATTGGGGACCCTGCAGCCGTCTTCCAGAGTCGGGGCCTCCTGCTGGCTGTTTGACCGCTCTCGTTCCACCCCGCACAGAGACAAAGGATGGGGCCAGGGCAAAGGGGCCAGGCCTGAAGCTGCTGGAATGTCAAGCTGTGGCTCTGGCATCAGCCCCAGGTGTCTGGCTGATGTGCGGGCCGGTTTTGCAGGCTGCAAATCCCGTGTTCACCCCTCCCTGGGTCTGCAGTGCCCACTGCTCAGCTCTTATTCTGCACAGCAGGAAGCACAGGCAACATAGAGGGCATCGTAGGACAAGAGTGATTTCATCCTGAAGATGAGATGTGTGCGTGACCGTCCTGCTGGGACCAGGGGACACAGAGGTAGCAGAAAAGCGGCAGAGGGCAGAGGAGCCCACCCGTAATAGAGTCTGCTCACAAACAAAGAGCCTCAGGAAAGACCCAGGCAGCCCCCCTGCCCACCATCCTCTACTTGCCACCTTTTGTCCCCTTGCCCCACCTGCATCACCGTCCCGTAGCCAGCTCCCTCGCGCTGCTGACCCTGGGGGGCACTGGCCTGGTCTTTCCTTGTATGCTCAGTCCTCCATCCCAGCTGTCTAAGTCACAGCCCCCAATCCCGGAACACCCCTGGTCCCGTGCTGGGCTGACCAGGGAACGCTGGAAAATCAACAAGGCCAAAGTCCCCGAGCCAACATTCCTCAGCCCAGCGCCCCGGTTGGCCAACTTCGGTGGAACAAACAGGCACAGGCCCTGGCTGGGAGACGCACACGGCAGTCTCCCAGCCAACTCAGCAGTTAGCACTGGAGCGGCTGGGAAGGACCATCTGGATGGGAAGAAGGAGCCAACCCGGCCTACACCCTCGAGCTCCGTGCTGGGTCCGAAAGGCCAGATTCATTAGCTATTTGTAACTGCAGTTATTAGTGTGAGATCAAGGTAATGGCTGGGCGGTAGCGACGTACTGCAGCTGCTAGAATTATTAGCTATTTGCTACTGGGATGATTAGCTCTCAGTTACCCTGAAGTATTATGATCTGTCCCTGAAATATTTCAATTCTCCATGTAGAAGTATTAGCTACTGACATGCTTGACTATGTCCCATTATGATTATTATTTGCTCTCCGTACGGGACCAACAAAGTCTTTTTTCTCGCTCAGCTTCAATCACCTAAGCACAGATCCACGAATACAAAGAACCAGCCTCCAGCCTTCCCTGACTCCGGCACCTCTGATTAACTTGGAAACCTAGCAACAGCAGCTAGGTCAGTGGACCCAGGAAGCAGGCGTCATGGCCGCCTGTGAAACAGGAGCTTGGGATGCAGCCCCCTGGAGCGACTTATCAGCCGCTCATTTGCTGATGGCTTTGAAAGTTTTTGTGATTCGATTTCAGGCATGACAAGAGAGATTGGTACAATTACAGAAGCTGCTGAGATAGCCCCACAGTGGAGACAGGGCTTAAAGACAGCAGCTACGGCTTCCAGGAGATGGCAGCCTGCTTAGTCACGGGGCACTGGCAGCCGGGGTCACGTGGAGGACACTGGGCTTTATAACCAAACTCCTGGCTCCTCTGGCTTCTAGAACAATCCTTAACCAAGGTGATCCTCAACCCAGTTGGTCCTTACTGGGCGCTTACTGCCATTCTCGGGCCTCCTCAGCCAAGAATCCAGCTCTGAGGAGGCAGCTATACCCGTTTCCCACCACCCAACATGGCCACCACCAGCTTCACCTTGAGTAGCTCACGCACCTTCCAGGGGAGGAAGACACAAGTGCCACAGTGGGGGCCTCAGGGAGGAGGAGGAAAGTGGGCGTGGGGTCTTGGTCCAGAGGAAGGGATGGCTCAGTGCTGGAGGGGCGTACCTGAAGGCCTGGCCTCTAGGACATAGCGGGTGATGGGCCCCTTGCCGGGGTCTCCGCTAGACCAGTGGATGGCGATGGCAGAGCTGTACCGGACGATGATGGGCACGCCAGGCGGTCCCGGGGCACCTGGAAGACAGCGCGCAGTGGGCACCCATCCCCCTCCTCATGCTTCAAGAGGAGGAGGGGCTTGGCTTCAGAACCAGCCCTGGCCAAAGAGCCTCTGAGAGACTCCATGAATGCTGAGGTCTGAGGCCAGACCTGCCAGAATCTGACCACGTTCTCCTCCGGGTCACCCACACACCCCAGGGCAGGAGAGGCTGTGTGGGATGCCAGAAAGATCCCTAGAGGAGAGCTTGGGGACCCCAGCTTCTAGTTGTGCCCAATACGTACTACACTGGTGGCTCTGATGAATTCACGTAGCCCTCTGGAGCCTCAGTTTCCCCATCTGTCAGGTCCTTTTGGAATGTAAGGCTTGAAGGGGTGTGGTCAGGGGGGCGGTAGAGGCAGATGTGATAATAGCAAAGTGGGCCCATGGATAAGAAGGGGGTTGGTTTGAGGAGGGCTGAAGGGCCCCCAGCATCTCCCTGGCCTGTGATGGCAATGTCTCCCTACTTCCTTCCTGAAATCCCTCCCCGCCCCCGACTGCGTTACCACTGGGTTTGGCAAGGAGAGGAGGCCCGGGCAGCAGGGAGCCTCAGGCCTCCTGTCAGGGAAGCAGGAAACACTGGGCCTGGCCAGCCCACCGCCCACTACACTGGCCAGTTGGGAGCCAGCAGTCTACTTCTATAGGAAGAGCAGGGAGCAAAGCAGCCCCAGAGGGCCCTGTGTACTCCCCAGGCCCCCACAGCCTGCAGAGCTGACTGGGTCATCACTGCAGCCAGGTCCGTCTCCCCCTAGATGTGGGGCTTGGCATTCCAGAGCCCAGCACATAGTAGGTGCTTCCTACGTGCTTGCGGGACAAGGGGCTGAGAGAGCAGGTGGGTGGTCCACTGGCTGAGTGTGTGTGCCTGGTGACCCCCGTGATGCCTGCTGGGAAGGGCAGGGAGTCCAGCATCCCATCTGAGATGCTCCGGGGCCAGGGGAGCCAGGAGGCTGGGACAGGTGGCCAGGGACACACTCAGAGCTGGTGGTCACTGCCCTGTCTCCAGTCCTGACCCCGAGAGCGAGTGTGGAGGGCCTCACTGCCTCCTTCCTCCCTCTCTCCCTCCCCAAGCATGCCCTACCCGTATAGCACAGGGCAAAGGCAGTGAGGGGATCAGTCGGGGTGGGACACAGCTGAGGTAACTGTGAGAGTAGGGGGTGGCTCAGGACCCTGAGTTCTCACTGTGCACAGAATAATGCAGAGGGAGGCAGGTGTCACCTCCTCATGGGACAGAAACTTGTATCGAGTCCAGTGGTGGCTTGGGAAAGGGTCGGTCTGGCTGCACTTTGTCCCCACAGTCCCCTCCTCGCTCACAGCCTCCTCCTCACCCACACCCACTGGGTGCAGCTCACTTCTTTCTGGTTCTTTCTCAGAGGGCAGTGTCCTTGGTGCCGCCCATGCCTCCTCTGCACTTCCTGCCCCACCCCCACCAAGGACCACACAGCCTGGGACACTTGGACCTCAGGTTAGGGCAGATTATCCTCAGGACAGCCCTCTCCTGGCCAGGCCCCATCCCCCACCCACTGCCGCCAGCAGCCAGCTCTCTCTTCTGCTTTTGTTTCCCAGGAAGTCAGCTCAGGTGAGGGGCCGTGGGGGAGGCCGGCATGTGAAGGCAGAGTGGAGCAGTTCCCGAAACAGGAAGCCAGACACGCTTGTTTGCTAAACACAAGCCAGGGGACACAAAGTGACCAAAAAGGGAAAGTGAAGTGGGCTGGAACCACACACAGAGTCAAGACAAGCTGCCCCCACTCCCCACCCTGCCCCCTGCAATGAAGGCTAAGACCAGGCATTGCTCTCCAGGCCCAGGCCCAGCCCACCTCAAGCAGCTATCCGGTCTCCTGGGGAGCAGATGCCTTTGTCCATGCCCTGGCTGACGGATTTTAGGGGAAGTTTGGAACGGGCTCCTGCCTTCTGAATGTTGACTTTTGTGTTCTGTGATTGTGGCTTTGGAGGCCTAAACTTGACCACTGCAGATGCCCTGACAAACACCTCCAGCCCAGAGAAGACCTCAGGCGGCTTCACAAAACCCAACTGAGCTCTTAGCTTCGTCCCAGCTCCCGTGCTACCCTGTCCTGCTGCCGTCCTTCTCCCCTCCCTTCTCCTGGGCTCTGCTTCAGTTTGTGGCCGCTCAAGCCACAAAGCCTGGGGTAACCTTCACCCTTCCCTCCTCCCTGAGCCCAGTGAACAGGTTCTGCCAATGTGACGTGACCTGCTCCTTTCCGTCCCCCTAAAGCCTTTGTGGGGCCCAGACCCTGCACCTCTGTCCAGGAAGGAGGCAGCCTGGCTGGTCCCCTGCCTCTGCCCTGGCCAGTCACCTTCCCTTACCTCGGACCTTCTGGGCTCACTGTGGCCTGAGCAGTGTTTATCACAGCAGGGTATGACAGCAACAGCTCAGCTGTTACTAAAATGCACTCCCAGGGGTAGAGCCTCAGAGGTTCTGATTTCCTGGGGCTGAGGTGGGGCCCGGGAATTTGCATTCCTCACAAGGACCAGGAGGTTCTGAGACACCTTGAGAAATACCTGAGGGAATAAGCAAGCACTCCCAGCCGGGGCCCTGCCTTCCTTCAGCCCTGGGAGCTCGCCACTCTCCCTGGCTCCTGTGCTAGAGACAGCTTTAGGCTACAGAAAGCATTTCCATGCATATATTTGAGTGCCCCATCCCCTTCTGCCTGACAAGCCCCAAAGTCTTCCTTCACCACCTCCTTAACGCCCCCCAACCCCCTCTCTGCATTGTGAGGCCCCTGGCCCCCTCCCCCTGGACCCCATGTCTACTCTCTCACACGCCCCTTGGATGCTGGTTTGACTGTGGTCCCCACTGGTCCGTGAGCTCCCTCAGACCCCGTCTTGCCCATCTCGGGGTCTCTAGGCCCAGCACGGCTCCTGACACCTTGGAGAGCCCTGTCCGACTTGTGTGGGGGCAGTGATCCGCGCTTCCCCTCTGGATTTCCTACCTTCTCCTGGGCCCGTGGTGACGTTGGCTTCGATCTCCGGCCCGTAGGTGAAAGTCTTGGCTCTGATGCGGAACTTGTAGGTCATTCCCTCTGCGAGGTCCTTTACCTTCAGCCACAGGGGGCTGTTCCCCTTCACATCCACGGTCACAATCTTGCTGACTCCTGGGGGTAAGAACAGGATGAGAGGACTGCAGGACAGGGCGGGAGGAGGGCGGTGAGGTGACTGGCCTAGGGGGCAGTTTGCCTCTTCCCTGGAGGCAGCGGGGGAGGCACAGCAGTGGCCTGACCACCCGCAGACACTGACCAGAGACCTCCCCCCTTGAAATCAGACTGGAAATGTCACCCTCACCTACAAAGCAAGGTCTACCCAACCTGTGTTTCTCGGGACACAGGCTTGCAGGCCATTTTGAGAAAACAGGATTCCACGGTTAAATCAGTTTGGGAAAAGCTATATACTGTCTGTCCTTCTGTCTTTTGAATAATCTCAGGGTCCTTTGACATCTGGAGAAAAAAAAGACATCCACCATTCCATTTAACTCAATCACTGTACCCCAAATATATTTCAGCCCCTTTTGGGTCCGCCATTTAATACCTGATAACATCCTGCAGAACTAGAATTCCAAGGATCATTCTTTTAGGAAATGCTTCCATAATGACACCACTTGAGTCCAGAGTCAGAAGCACACAGGGGCAACCAGCCCCCACAGCCGAGGGGCACCCACGGCTCGGCTTCTGGACCTTTCCTCCTCCCCCCCGCGCTGAAGCTCAGAAGCTCACCCAGGCCTCCAGAAATCTGCCCTCGCCAGGATTTTTAGGGACGCCTCTGCACCCCAAATCATAACCACTAGGGAGGAAGGCCTGGAGTAGATGTCGGGAGGTGGGAACTGTCATGATTTGGCGTCCAGCACTCCCGAAGGCTGGGCTGGGTTTCATCTCTCATGTCCACCGAGCACGCCAGATACTGAGACTGGGCTGGGCAGCCAGGCGGGCTGGGCAGCCAGGCGGGCTGGGCAGCCAGGCGGGCTGGGCAGCCAGGCGGGCTGGGCAGCCAGGCGGGCTGGGCA